TCTTATTAATTTCGATTGTTTATAAATCTATCGCTGTTAACATTAATGAACATCTCGTGACTCGTTTTGCAAAACCGATCGAAAATAAAATATGGAAAAATTGGAATAGCGAAATTTCCATTTCGCCAAATGCCATCTTTGAACCGTCTACGCTTGGAGATCTTGTAGATATTGTAAAACTAGCAAAGATAAATAATAAAACTATTCGATGTGCTGCTCAAGGGCATTCGATAAGTTCTCTGTCTGTCACAAAGAACTACTTGGTAGTAATTACAAAGTTAAATCAGATTACGGTGCAATAACATCCAAAATATGGCTGGACTGCTACTGCAGAAGCTGGTAAATGTTTATAATATATGCAATTAAACCTCTCTAAATACTCTAAATGCCGATATTTAGAGAATAATAAGAAAATTGCATTTATAGGAATCTAGTTCTAGTCAGAATTAAAGATTAAATTTAGAGAAGTGTTGGAAGTTGCATTTAGAAAAATCTGACCATATATTCATTCATAATAAAGATAATATATAAGAATTTTATTTATTTAATTAAAAATAGGTACATCATTATTTGATCTTGATAAAGAACTCCGAAATCATGATCCGCCATTAGCTCTTGATTCTGCGACTGTACCTGACATACTTCGAGTATCTGGTGTTATAGCAGTAGGAGCACATGGGTTCACGACCAGTTCAGGCATTATGCCAGATCAACTTTGCGCTATGAAAATTGTCAGTGGATCCGGTAAAGTACGTGAATTTAACGAAGAAATAAATAAATCAGAATTCAATGCTGCAAAAGTTAATTTAGGTATCTACTAAGCATTTACTTTTGATTATTACGTTTTTTTTCACTATCTGACTTTATTATTGCTTAGGTTTACTTGGGATAATCTATTCGTTGACTTTTCGAGTACAACCAATGTACAATCTTCGTATTACTGGCATGAGTATTCCAATAAACGAATTGAATTCAAAGTATATCAAAAATCTTTTAGAATCATCTGAAGCTATTACTTTAGGTTATTGGCCATTCAACAGTTACAATAAGAGTTATTCGAATCCTCTTGACCCTAATAGAGATTTAGTTGTGGTTAGAAATTGGATACGGACTAATGAATCTTTGAGCTTCACACAACAACAGATCGAACAAATGAATGAAGTTCTAAGACAGAATTCTATTTACCAGTATGAGCTCCTAAAAAGTCTTTGGCAAAATCCTGAGGCAACTCCGAACATTAGCGCCACAATATGGAACAGTAATAGTAGTAATTTATACGGTAGTTCTGTACTACAAGCTCCTGATGCTATCCATTTCGTTATTGGCGAGGAATTAATCCCACATCGTTTAATGGAAATTGCATTCAAAGTTGATCCGGATTTTTCCAATGTCGCTGCTGAATTTTCTCATGTCATCCAAACAGTGAGTTTTATAATATTTTATTTTTAATACTTTGTTAATTTATTTTCATTGCTCTTTATAATAAACTTATTATATTTGCAGGTATATAAATTTGCAAAAAAAGGAAAATTTCCATTAAATCGTTATGTAGTTGCCAGAATCATAAAATCCTCTGATGCATTATTTTCCAATACCTTCGATCATGATCCAAAAGCTTTATATTGTTATTTTACTTTTGCAACAGTTATTGGTACTGGATGGGAAGAATTTATACAATACCTGGCGCAGAGATATTTTGATAAATACAAAGCAAAGTAAGGAATTAATTTTTTTTTTCAATAAATTTCATTAATTAATTAATTGTACAAATTTTTCTATAGACCTCATTGGGGAAAAGAATGGGAATATATTCCAAATGTAAACTCTTATCTCTCTGACATTTTATCAGATCAAATTAAGCAATTCGAGAAAGTGCGCGCAAAATACGACCCTAATAATATTTTCTTTGATAATAAGTCTTTGCAGGATATATTTAGTCGTGCTTTATATTCACGAAATAGTAAAGGCTCAAGGAAAAAGAAAAATTAATGACGATAATATGATCAGTTTGCAACTCAACAATATTACGTAGAACTAATTAATCAATCATAAACTATGTAATAACATTTTTATTAATGTAGATTTGCAAAGATATTATGCAGCAATCATTAATGAGATATATAAGTAGAAAATGTTCAAATCTAAGCGCAAAGTAAAATGATTGTTATGGCTGATGCTGAAAATTGCTGACGCAAACAATTAGACCTATTTTGATATTAAAGTTTAGGGTGTTTTTTATCATTATTTGAGAAATCAAAATTATTTAATATGCGATTTTTTGTCTATATGTGATAGTATTTATACAGGGTGTTCCAAAAATTCCTATACACGGACTCCATTTTTTATGTGAACTTATACACAGAGATCAATAGAAATCACGATAGTTATTTATGTAAATATGTAAATTATTATAATGATCACTATATATTATATAGAGTTCATGATGGCTATTTATATATTTGCATATATAATTATCGTAATTTCTATATATAAGGTCATATAAAAGTAGAAACCATGTATAGGAACTTCTGGGACACCCTGTATAATAAAATTTAGATCAAATTTAATATAAGTATTATGATATAGTTGTAATCTAATTTTGCCTAAAGTTGTTATTTTTTTTTTGTAGTCAAGGTTAGCCTCTTCGGCTTATCGCTTTTATTAGATATTAGGATCATGTGGTGCCCTTTTCAAAGGGGCCCCAGACAAGTACATTCTGACGAAGATACATTCTAGCCATATCTGCACCTTTTGGGTGCCTAATTAAGTATACTACCTATGTGCTAGGTGCTACACTAGATGCCGTACCTGTAACCCACTATTACTTGAGCTACCCAATTAAACCCTCTGATCTGAGTTTCCTATGTCAATCCATCTAACCTCACCCAGAACATGCGATACATAAGTCAGTCCAAGAAAGTTGTTATTTTTCAATGAGTTGATTTATTTAATTTTTAACAAAAGTTATAGAAATAGTTTAATTGGGATAAAATTATCATCCTAAAAAGTTTTGTTGGACATTAAAACTTCAAGATCAGATGTAATATAACACAATCAAGAAAACATGATTGAACCCTAGTATAATGGTAAGATTCTAACCCTAATGGCACAAAATTTTTACTCTAGTTAATAAAGCCTGGGTATAGGTCAAAATATTAGCTTGAATTAACCTAAATTAAGCTTAATTTAGCTAAATTTAACTTACACCCTTATTATGATCATTACTATATTTTTTATCAAAATAAAACTGTTATAGTTTGGGTTAGACTTAAAATAATCTCATATTTAAGAATAAATTTTAAAATGCATTTTTAATTAAACTATAAAAGGTGTTTCTTAATTAAAATTTTAATTTCTTTTTTTTTTTGTAAACAAAGTGACCTCACTTCAATTATTTATATTATATATAATTTTGATAAAGATAAACAATTTTATATAGAAGAGTCTTGAGATAATATAGTACTCTAAGCTATACACTGTACTGATTTAGTATTAATTTTTAAGATACTGCATATACACAAAAATTGTATAATATATATAATTTTTAATTTTTTACTATATACTAGCAGTATAGTAAATATAATTATAAGCAATTAACTAATTAGAAGATTAGCCTATAGTGCAAATTATTTAATTTTTGTAGAACCTGGTATGATTTGGGAATAGCAGCTTAGAGCTTATAATATTATTATGGCCTTTTATAAATTGCTTTCTAATAGTTTGTCTTTTGTTTGATACAAATATTTTTAAATAGTATTACAGTCAAACCTCTCAATAGTCACACCTTCGGGATACAAAAAACTGTGATTATAAAGAGCTGTGACTAATATAGATGTATTTTTTATATAGTTATAAATAATAGATAAAATAAATTTGTAATTATACTAATTTTGTGACTATAGAGGAGGTGACTATTGTATAATATAATAGTCAAAATTTTTATTATAATACTATTGTTATAGGTAAAAGTGATATTTTGAAAAGTAAACTGTACTATAACCAAAGAGATTATTGAGGCTATGAACTTTTATTTAGAATTACAATATACTGTATATATAGTAAGTTATACAAGTCACTCTCGTTATAGTGAAGTCATTAATAAAAATTTTTAAAAAAATTCATTATATCAAGAGTTTTATTAGTAAATTCACTATATCGAGAGAATTTTATATAAACTGGCTTCGAGCTTAACTTCACTATATCGAGATTTTAATTAGTCTTCACTATATCGAGAGTTCACTATAACGAGAGTGACTTGTAGTATATTATATAAATACAAATTAAAAAATATTATTACAGGTTACCCCCGTTAATATCAACCTGTTTGAATCGGGTGATTTGGTTGATATATGCGGGGTTGATAACAAAGGGGATTAGTCATTTATGTATCACAAAGTTTTGACTAATAAGAAAATGCACTTTAAAACAAAAGATAGGTACGTACAGTACGTACGTACAGTACATACTTACAGGTAGCAGGCTTTCATTCTGATACAAGGAACGGAGTGCAACGAAGTGTATGGGTATATAGAAGTTATGTTGCGTGTGTAAACCCGTATATTTGATTGTCTTATTTTCACTTGTTATCTACTTTAGGGGTCCAGTTCATTCATATATACTTCATAACCTGGCTTTTACGTTTTCCTATTTTTCTATATTAAAATTTGTCATAAGTAGCATCAACTTTCTGTTTTAATTAGGCTTTTTTTATCTTTAGATCTGCACGAAAAACAAATTATGACTTGCTGTATTATATGTATTATAAGATTTATTTTGCCGAACTACAAATACCAATACCAAAATAGAATAAACGACTTTAGGTTTATGGGATTGCATATTCTTCAGAGTTCTATTCGATATTATATACGGATGATATGCATTATATACATTGGCTATGTTGGCGTTTACTGCTCTTGCTGATTATTTGTCATAAGAGCGGTAACCTGTGCCGCACTGTGATACCATAACACCATATTTCCGAAATGCTACAATGAAAGAGTATGAAAGAGTGCAACAAAAAATTGGTTGCTATAAAAATTTGGAAAAGAGGCATTGATAGATGCGATGAAAGATTGAGAAGAGGTATTATAACAGTCGACCATCCATAAATGCACTCTTCGGAAGAAAAGTGCACTTATAGAGGTATGCACTTAAAATTTAATTAAACGATGTGCACTTTGGTAAAATCAGCAAAACTTGACACTCAAATACTTGATCAAAATCGGATATCAAACGATCATATATATCTATATCTGATGCAATCTATGTTAGCTTAATATCCGACTTGATCAAGTATTTGAGCCTCAAGTTTTCGACTGTATATATTAAACTTCCACATTATTGAAGCTCAAGATATGTTTGTTCGCAATCTGATTGGCACGCTGGATTAGTTGTGGATTGACATCTGTCTGCTTTTACGACAATTAACATCAAATTTAAATGAAAAACATTATTAACATTAAATAAGGTATCTATTATATTAAGAATTGAGTTGCTTCCTTCTATAATGCCATGTAATAAAGTTTAAACTTTTATAAAGAGTCCCGTCGTTAACTCCTGGGTTAATTAACCTTACCTCCGATTATTTTGATATGTTATAGAATTTATATACCACAACCTTTGGCCATTCGTTTTCGTGGCTGCCAATTCGTTCAAAGTCAGCTGTTGCAGTGTATATGAATGCCGCCAAGGTAAAAGGCACCTCGACAATTTAAGTATATTACTGATTAATTGTGCATTGAAATATGGGCCTCCATCATTTAATAAAATTAGATAAATATGAATAAAGTCAATCACGTGATTTTAGTCAATTACATTTCAAGACTAGGTGCAACGTGAGAATTATCGAGAACAATGGCTTTTTCAATATTTCACTTATTGGCTTTCGCGTTGCATTCGATCTTGGCATCACCTAATAATTTTGATTAATCAATCACAGTAGCATTATATCGTTATAGTATATAAAATGTTTAGTTTTACTGATAATTCTTTTTGAATAGAATTATACAAAACAAGTGATATTACATTTGAAGAAAAAAGTAATAAATCTATTAATACTGACGAAATGGGAATATTTAATGAATCTGGCAGATTAGATAAAGGCTTTCTTTAGTCTAGGTTTTTCTGAGTCATATAAAATCATTATTTTCACTAAATTTACTAATGTAAGTCTAGTAACCAGCCTATAAAATTTCACATATGATATTAGATGATTGAATATTAGGTTAGGGTTAGGATTTCGCTAATAGGTTAGTATTAGAGAGCTATAGTTATACAGGATTTTCGCAAGAAAAAACTTTTGTTAGTACGCAGAAAACAGTTTCATAAGGAATTTTTTAGGTTAGAACCGATTTTTTATTTTATTGCATTTTTTTTTGGCATTTTTTACTTTACTTTCGAAATTTAATTGGCTAGAAAATATTTGGACTGGTATTTTAAATACTGTTTTTATTAATAACAGCCTTTTAACTTTAAAGTAATTAATTGCCGGAGTGTAACGGAGGATATTTAATGTTTATTCAAAGTAAACAAAAGTTACATTTTTTGATGCATTGTTGCGTTTTGATTGTATCATTAGTAGTGATGGGCCGCTGCGCAGGCGGAATATTTCGGAAGGTCAGAATATGCCGGAAGGCATCGAAATTTAGCAATTTTGGCCCAAATTAGCCATAATGCAGGCCCGTGCAGGCTGCGCATGCAGCGCAGCCTGCGCAGTATTTTCAAAAAAATCTTCGATTTGCACATCACTAATCATTAGCTAGCTTGCTTAGTCATACAAAAACGCAAATTTGAAAATTAAAGTTGCCAACACGCGTGTCTACATTTTTAGGGGACGTGCTCAGTCATATAATTAATATCTAAAATTAGTGTTAGTGTGAGAATTATGGGAAGTCGTCTTTCTAATATTTTTATTAATGCGTCGAGATAAGTTTAGGTGGCCTTTTTTTGCAGTTTTGGCATATATAGATTTTTTCCGTTATGTCTTTAAGGCTACTGTTGCTATTGTTTAGGAGAGCGATTACAATATCAGGCACAATTTAACTCCAATAGTAACTTACATATTAAAACTGTGCTAATAAAAAAATAGGTAAATAAATAATATAATGTCGCGGGAGAATTGTTTTTCGTTTCCGAAATATTTCGGATTTAATAAAGTGACCCGAAAATAAATATGAATGTTTGTTTTGGACTTTGGATAAATTTGCCGCCGATCATCATGTGGCCCGAAAAATTCGTGGCCGCCCTGGTGAATTCTTTTACGATAGCGTTATGGGTAGCTTAGGTTCACTTTATATAAGGTCGAGTATAATATTTGTTATAGACAATATTATTTATAAAGCACGCAAGGCTTCTACTTTATTATGGGCGAAGAGCCCGAATATATATATTGAAACTAAATTATTTCAACTATTACTATCTATTTACTTTTATTTGACCGGCTATTCCGATTTATCCTATTAAATTTGTAAATTAGTTTTTCTTACTTTCCTTTTTTAATCCGATACCTTAGTTTAATGGGTTAATCTAATATATCTAATATATCGCGGGAACCCTACGATTGGAAGAAGATCGTCGCACCCGATTGTGCAACAATCTCGTGGTCACTGGCGTTACGACTTAGTTACGGGTCTCAATGTGTAAAGTAATAAAGAATTTTTTTACAGTACGTTTATAAAGAGAACTGAATACCTCATGTTAAATTGCTCCTCAAATTTAAAGCTAATGTAGTGTTCTTTAAGTGGGTATCGACTACTACTTTTCTTCTGTTCCAACATTTATTTTTTCAGGAATTAATCGCAGAACAATCGATTTCATTATCTCCCGGCTCTTATCTAATTTATATAGAAAATATAAATTGATGAATATTCGTGTCATAGTCGTCAAGAATTAATCCTGATATCAACATCCCGATATCAACTAAATCAATTGACGTATATAATCTGTATCCAATTCATCATAGGCCAGTACATTCTACCAGTCACTTTTTGAAAACAGAGAAGAACTTTAACGGCAGGCCGTTCACTATACATTATTTACTAGTAACTTCATTTTCGTAAGAGTTGATCATCTTTATCATCTTAGCTTAATTGAAAAAAAGAATTTTTTCAAACAGAATATCTCATATTGAGTTGCTCTTCAAATTTAAAGTTAACATAGTATTCTTGAAATGTTCATCGACTATTGCTTTCAAGATTTAATTTTTTCAAAATTTAAATGAATTTCTTTCTCTTCTTTTGGTCCAAGTTCATTATATCGAAAATCCAAAAATGCATATGTTGACACTTTTTCTTCTACTAATCCAAGTTCATTCGAATCAAGAGTCAAAAATTAGTGTGATATATGGCAAAATGCATCTGCTAATGCTTAAATTTTATGTGTATAACTTAATGAAATGAATTGCATAATTTACTGATGACTATGTTGTGCATAGTATTGTTAGATGAAACTATTTTATAAAATGATGAAAGACGAAGCTTCTAAGCTTCCCTGCAATTTCACAAAGACAAACTTCCCATAAAAGGCGAAATCCTCGTTAGGCCGTTCAAAGTTGATTAGTTGTTTAACGTCAATATTTTAAGCTCAGGCTCTGGGGGGGGAGGGAAAATTTAAACAAACACATATACGACACAGAATATTTGATCAAATCTTATTGGTCAACCTTAATCACATGATTATTGAAGATTATCCTGCATTGTGATTGGCTTGTTTAATTTCCAGCTAACCATGAGGGGGGTGACGTTAACAACTATTCAACCTTGAACGGCCTTATTTTTGAATAATTCTTGATTAACAGAAACATTAAATTTCACATAATGTGTGTAGAGGGGCTGTTAAATTAATAAATATGTAAATGCGAGTTTTGAGTATTGCAAAGCAAAATCTATTATTAAAACTATAAAGATTCCAAAGTTTTTATTATCGTTACATATTAGTAATTAAATATTTGATATTTGACGGGCAGATAATACTGTATATAATGAATCGAATATATTTTGTATTTGATAATATAAAATAATATAAAGCAAAGGTTTAGTGCTGCTCATAATTGAGAATGCCGTTACATCATATTAATGTGAATAATCATTTTAAAAAATTATAATTTATCGCAAGTAGCTACCCCTGTCACAGAAAAAGTCATCTGACAAAGTCGATCTGATCTGCACCACGTGAATTGCGCATACGACGTCACCTTTACTCGTTTATTGTCGTAGTCCTGATTACTATGAACGATTACTTCATTTCTTTTTCTTTTTTTTTTTTTTGAATATTAGATTACTTCATTTCTCTGATCTCTACTAAATCTTACGTATTATTTATTTCCTTCTTACTACAGTATTACTGAATTCAATGAACGTTTAGCATCTATTACTTAATTTTCATAATGAAACTACTTTATAATTTGAAATTTGCTCTTGAATTAATTAATATCTATCGTGGGAATTATTGCAAAGGTTAGAGAATGTATTTAAAGGACAACTTCCGCTTGAGGGTAAAAGGGAGAATATACATATACGTATCATGCAATAAATACTTATTTCGTAATTGTAAAGAGCAAACCAAACTTTCTCAATACAAAAAGTTTCCCAACATTGACCTCAGAATTAAATGAAAATGAAAGAATGTTAATTTCTAAGCGCTGAATAGTTAACTGGTTAGGTCCTCAATCGCTAATACCACATGTTCATGCTTCGCCACAGTACTGGGAATTCACGATTCTCCTTTACACCAACTACATGAAGTACTTTCATCCACTTAGAATCCGGACACTAAAAAATTATTCTTCAAAACAGTCAAGACCTTCTATTCAAATATTCTGACCATATTATATCAGTCTCCAGTGATTTAAAAGAAGGTGTAAAAAATTGGCTAAGACATAACAACAGATTAGTTAGTTCTTTAATCATAACTTTATTAGTTATGATAGAGCTTAATGGAAATGAAAGTAAGCTTAGCCATGAATTAAAGAACTAGATAGCTGCGCGACGTCATCGCGCAAAACCAGGAAGGAAGAAATTGATAGTGGTAAGACTTGAACGTTTAATATGTTAAAGCAAGGTGTAGTTTATTATTAATTCAAATAGCTATATAAGAGAAGAGAACTAAATAATTATTTGTTATTTTTAGTAATAATTATTTATTATATAAAGTCATCCGTTAACCGATACCGGTCGGTCAGAGACCCTTGACCGACCGGTTAAAAATCTGATCAATAATAAAAATTAATGTAA